GGAACGGACAGTTCACACTGTTGGCGGGCGAAACGGCACGCGGCCTCGCATGATGAAAAGTGCACTAGTTGTGAGGCCTACTGGCGGCACTCAGAAGAAGGAGTAAGCGAAATAGGCCCTACCAGCTGGACGACTCTGGAAACACTGAGGAGGAGTAGGAGGACAAGGAGGAGGAGGAGGAGGAGGAGGAGGGGGAGGGTAGGAGGAGGAGCAGGAGGAGGAGGAGGAATAGGAGGAGGAGGAAGAGGAGGCCTCCGCCGGCTACCGCGTGCGCCACCCTCCCGAGGGCCTCTCGCCTGCTCCCGCCAAGAAAAGCGTGTCAACCCTTCGCGTCCTCGAAGGCGAGGCCCTTTTGTGGGAGTCTCCTAGCTGCGGCTGCTCTGCATCCGTCACGGCGGAGGCGCAACATCAAACAACTCCACACCAGCGTCATGGGAGAACTAGTTAGAGTTCAAATGCAGTGATATCACGCAAAGGACATCACAGCGTTATCGAGGGGGCCTGTCGACAAATTTGCGCCACTATGTTTCCTGTTCCTGCCGTGCGTCCCTCCCCTACCCTCTCCCTCCTCGGACTCCCTTTGCCAGTTCTCCTCTGCCCATCTCTTCCTCTTCTTCCGATCCCCTGGCCGCCCCCTTCTCCCTGCCTTCCTCCCCTCGCCTCTTCTCTATCCTCTACCTCCTGTGCCCTACAGACCCTTTCCGGGAATCGGAAGAGTAGGAGGAGGAGTTGGAGTAGAATTCCCACGGAGTCGTGGCACTCCCTGGGCTCTCTCTCTCTTTCTCTATCCCTCTCTCTTTCTCGCGTGTTTCTACACGAGCAGGTACTCTCCAATCAAGTAAGCCAGTCCTATCTCTCTTCCTCTCTCTCTCTCTCTGTCTAGCTGTCAGTAGTGGCCATACTATACATTCACTTGTGTGCACACGGATTCCCCCACTAGCATGCATCCCATCACAGGAATGCAGACTAAAGCAGCCACCACTTCACTACACTAGCCCACTACGTGATGCCCGATGTATCACACGCGCGGACCAGATCACCAACATGCACATGAGCCTGAGCGTGAGCCTTACTCGCAAAGGGAATGCAGCCGGCGCCTAGGCGAGAGCGCCAAAGCATATTCTGGGGGCCAAACTATCACAATTGTAATTGTTGAGTAAGTAAGCTTCAACAACAACATCAACAATCCGTACCGCGGAACCCCACTTCAGCCAAACAAAAGGGACAGTGAGCTGATCGCTCGGCCCCCTCACTCTGACTGTGGACCTCTTCATTGCTTTCCTGAATGTAGATTCCCCTGCTGTAGTCGCGTCTGTGGTGGTCAGCCATGTATTTCATATGGGGGCTGGTGCCTGGATCGGCGCGCACCTGGAGCCATTTATCTACGGTGTAGTTCCAGGCGCTCCCGATCGATTCTGGGCTCGACCAGCTCGTAGTCTGTGTGCCAGGCCCGCTTTGGGCTGCGCTGCCCCTGGAAGTACTCCATAGCTGACGTTATCGAAACTCGCCCTGCTGATGAGCAACAGGTGGTACAAGTCGCTGACGCAGATGTTAACCCGCACGTATCGAGAAGACGTAACTCGGATTGGGGAACTCGGGGGCTCCCCCTGCAGACATTTCACGAACACTGGACCGCCAAAATTCAGCACGGCTCGTCAACAAAAAGAATAGGCGAGCCCGAGTTCTGCCGTTCTCGAGTCTTACGCTCCCCCGAACGTAGGTGATGTACCACCCCCTCATGGTGTAGCACCCGCACGTTCTTAATCAAGGGCTCCTAAGTTCGCGCTTCGCGCTGCGCGAAGCGCGAATAACTTCGCGCTCTCGCGCCGCCCCCCAAGGGGGAGAATAGGAGGACGAGGAGGAGGAGGAGAAGGAACGAGGACCGCGAAGCGCGAAGCGCGAATAACTTCGCGCCCTCGAGGGAGCCCTTGTTAATACAGGCGCTGGAAATCCCCGTCTGGTGAGAGCAGCTGTTCTCGGCGGCGTCGCGCGCTCCGCCGACGGTGGCGGCGCGCTGACGCCGGCCCGTCCCTCCGGGCCCCGACGCGGCGGCGCGGGGGCCCAGGGCCACAAAGGCCTTACCGCGGGGGCCACGTCGACCTCTTACTCCTCCTCCTCCTCCTCCTCCTCATTCTCCTCCTCCTCCTCCTCCTCCTCATTCTCCTCCTCCTCCTCATCGTCAGAATCAGCATCAGCATCCTCATCATCATCATCATCATCAGCATCATCATCACCATCATTATCATCATCATCATCATCATCATCATCATCATCATCAGCATCATCATCATCACCATCAGCATCATCATCACCATCATTATCATCATCATCATCATCATCATCATCCTCATCATCATCATCATCATCATCCTCATCATCATCATCATCATCATCATCATCATCATCAACATCATCAGCAGCAGCAGCAGCAGCAGCATCGTCATCAGCATCATCATAATAATCATCATCATCATCATCATCATCAGCAGCAGCAGCAGCAGCAGCATCATCATCAGCATCATCATCATCAGCATCATCAGCATCATCCTGATCCTTTCCCCTCCTCCTCCTCCTCCTCCTCCTCCTCCTCGTCCTCCTCCTCCTCCTCCTCCTCCTTCTCCCCCCATCCCCTCTGGCCCTGCTCGGTTCTTGCAGCGTCGGCGGCGGGGGCTCGTCGTCGCGTGGGGGCCACCAGCCCGGGCGGTCGCCCGCGCGCTTGCGGCGGGCGGCGGTCGCGCGCGAGGGCGTCGGGGGGGAGCTTCCTGAGGGCTCGAACGCGACGGAGGGGGCGGGGGAGGCCTGCTCCTGCTGCTCCTCTGACTCCTGCTCCTGCCCCTCCTCTTACGTATGAAGGGGCCCAGGGACACACAACCAAATAGATAAAAATCCCAGGATTCCAATGTTTTCCAATGTGTCTAGCATATTCCAATATGTTCCTGGAAACCGACGTTGAGTTGTCTGTGTCTACTTGCCCATCCTGATCTTACCCTTCCCCCTCATGGCTTCCACTTCGGCCTGCTCGAAGTGTACCAGTCAAGCTGTTGTATGAGATCTTCGAGCAAATGCCCTCTCCACCATCGAGGACCTCGCAAAGGCCGTGTCGGTCAGAAGGTTTTGGGAGTCCTGGCCACAGTAACCTAGCTTTGCTGGCGGTAAACCAACGAGCCCATGGATTGCTGGCCAGAGTCGGTTCAAACGTCGCTGCGCAACGCCTGTCTTCCAGGGGCCAACGGATGGCGATGATGACGGTTCTCCTGATGATTATTGCCCGTGTCGGTTCTCCTTGGGTGCCTGATATGGGTGGAGTAGGGATATGACAAGCACTTGCCAGCGCTATGAGGACCCACGCCCGTCTGCAGCTTTGCAAGTATGCGGATTATACATGACGCCCGTCTTGTGATAGCCAGCGTTGCAGTGCACATCGCATTCCCTGGACCTGCGCGGGACAACGACTGTGAACGCGATGCCCGTGTCCCGTCAGCTGATGCTCGAGGCCTCCTGGTCCGTGAGGCAGGCTTGCGGATGTGGGGTCGAGGATGTTGCACCGCTCCCTCCTCGCGACCCGCGGTAAGGCTTCGGGTTGCGCACAGACATTCCCCCCAGCGAGTAGTCTTGTCTTCCCGGCTGGCCTCAATTGACCCCACGAGTAGTCCGTGGCGGTCTCAACACCTCAACTCCATTGCGCGGAGAGCCCCTGGGGCACCGCCAGGGAGTTGAGACCGCCCTGGGCTACTTGGGGGGGCCTGAGCAAGCTGGTGTGTGTGTGTGAGTGTCTGCGTCTATGTCGGCCGCCGTACTTCACTTGCTTCGCCTCGTCGCCTTGCGCAAGGCCGCGACCGCCAGAAAGTATGTGTGTGTGTGCCGGGATGCTTGGCCGCTGCACTTTGGCTTGCAGTGCCTCATCTTTTCACCACTTGCAACTGTCTGCACAGCCGTGGCTGGACCCTTCCACCACGGCGCGGTCGACTACGTTCGTCCGCAATTGGCACTTCCACCTGCCGACCGCGCCTGAGGCTCCTCTGCGCCGGTGACTTAAAAAGTGTGTGTATGTGTGTGTGTGTCTGCGCCTAAAACCCGAAGCCTTGCCAGAGATCCCACCTGGGCGGTGGCACGCTCTTTCTCAAGGGGCCCCAGGACACACAAATAAGTACACATAAAAAACGATTCCCCATATGTTCCCACGCTTTCCGGGTTTTTGCCTTCCCGCCCGATTCCCATATTCTCCCATACTTTCCTGGGGATCGACGACTACTTGTGCCTGTGTGGTTTTTCCAAGGGCTCCCAACTTCGCGCTTCGCGCTGCGCGAAGCGCGAAGTGCGAATAACTTCGCGCTCTCGCGCCGCCTCCCAAGGGAGAAGAGGAGGATGAGGAGGAATCGGAGCCGAACCGCGAAGCGCGAAGCGCGAATAACTTCGCGCCCTCGAGGGCGCCCTTGTTTTTCTCCTCCTGACTTTCGCGGCGGTGCCCACCCCCACGGGCTGCGACATCCGCACGGCGCTCCACTGCAGGCAGCTGGGCCGGCGCGCGGCGGAGCGAGCGCCCGCCGCGGGAGAGCGGCATCCACGGGGCCCCCCCGTCGTCGTCTGCTTGGCGGCTCCTCGGTCCTCGATGTCAAGGCCCCGTCGAGGCGTCCGTGCCAGCTGGAGGAGGGCGAGGGGAGGGCGGGGGGGGGGAGGAGGACGGAGGGCGGGGGGGAAGGCGAGGAAGGCGAGGGAGGGGGGGGCAGGAAGAGGGGGGGGAGAGGAGGAGATGGAAGGGGGACAGCGGGAGGGGGGGGGGGGGGCGGCAGCAGCAGCAAGAGGGAGGAGCGGCAGGAACGCGGGGAGGCGGAGGAAGGTGGGGGAGAAGGAGCGAGAGAGAGAGAGAGAGAGAATGAGAGAGAGAGAGAGACAGAAAGAGAGAGAGAGAGAGAGAGAACAAAAAAGACGGAGAGAGAGAGAGAGAGAGAGACAGAGAGAGAGAGAGAAAGAAGAGGGAGGCGGGAAGGAAAGCGCAAGCGAGGACCCAATGATGGCCCAAGTACGCATCGCAAGGACAGGCTGTCCCTGCCGCCGGGTCGGTCCGGGAGCGAAGGACACACCGGGCCAGACACACTTCTCTCGCCATCTGATCTGCCCGCTGGCTCGCTCGGAGCGGCTGGCGAGCGAGCTCAGCAGATCTCCATGCGGCCCAGCGCCACCAGCAGGGGCAGACCGACGAGGGTAGCAAGCGTGGTGAAGAACATGAGGCTCGAGCCTCGGTGCACTCGCAGCGCGCGGGGTACTCATCTCACCCTTCCGCTGTGTCTCCTGCTCTTCCTCCTCCTCAGAATCATTATTTTGCTCCGCAGCCTCCTCCTCCTGCTCTTCCTCCTTGTCCTCCGCCGCTGCTTACCTGTCAATGTACAACCGCATCCCCACCATCGTTCCTTCTCCGTCTCCTCCTCCTCCTCCTCCACCGACTTTTCCTACTTATGCTGCTGTTCCTTCTAGCTTCTCCTCATCCCCGCCCTATACGCCGAACCGCTCAAATACTTTTTTGTTTTTTTCTTGCAGTGCATCCTGCAATGAAGTATATGAAAGGGGCGTCGCTGACTCAAGCGGCATGCCCGAAAAAACGGAATCTGGAGAACTACGCTCGCCTTCAAATGCGCTGAGAACTATATACCTCCACGAGCATTCAGCCGAAAAGGCCGCTACCGAGCGCCGACGATGCCATGCGAAAGCGGCGCGCTGAGCTTGTCTTCGGCTCATTCGCATGCAAAAAAATCGAGCCGTCTGCTCACTTGGCTGGCTCAGTGTGACTCAATTTGCCGAAAATCGCTTCGCCACCCCTGACCGTGATCATGACACGTAGCATTGAATGCTTGGAACCAACCGTTCCCCTCCTCCATCCTTTCCGCCAACGGCTGCTCAGTAGTACGCGGCAGTCTTGCGGTAGTTGGCTGCAATGGGCGCCTGGCGGAGCACCTCTCCCGCCACCACCTCGCTGCAGATGATAATGTGATCGCTGGCATCCATGCGCGAGCTCACCTTGCAGGTTAGGAACGCGCAGCCGCCCTTCAAGGCCGAGCCGCCCTCCACCGGGAGCGTCTCGATGCCCTCGAGGACGTCGGCGCCGGGGGCGAAGGACTGCTGGAAGTGCTTCAGCAGCGGCAGGTAGTTCCCCTCTTCGAGCATGTTCACCACGAACGTGTCTCCCACCTGCATCACGGTCTGCAGCGCGTCCTCCTTGGCGACGGCCATGGCGACCGAGGGCGGCTCCGTGCTCGCGGGCATCACCCAGGTGGCCACGCCAGCACAATTGACCTCGGCCTTGGAGGCCGTGATGATGTAGCGGCCACCGCCCATCTTGCCCAACGCCTTCATGGTCTTCTCGTTGAGTTTGTCCTTCGCCGCCTGCTTCTTCTTCTCCAGCAGCTGCTTGGCCAGCAGCAGCCCGTGCTCCTCGTAGATGACGAGGTGCGACTGGGGGGTGCCGTCCAGCAGGCGGAGGGCCGGCATGGCCTCCGGTATGCCCACCTGTACGAACCGCGAGACGATGGAGTCGACAGGGTCCTCGTTCTCACCGAAGCTGGCGCTGACAAGGAACTTGTGGTTCTTCTCGTTGCAGCTGGCCACGATGCTGCTGAGGTTCTCCTCCGCTGTGCCAGTCATCGGGGGCGCGAAAACCACGATGACCTGGTTGCGGCCACACGCCTCCACGACCTCAAAGGCGTCGATGGCGTTGAGGTCGTGCATCTCCACCGAAACGTCGTTCGAGGTCAGGCCGAAAGCGAGCGCCTGCGACAGCCGCTCGGACTCCCCGTGGCGGCTCACCCAGAAGATGCACACGGCGGGGCCGAGCACCTTCAGGGCGTCCTCCGACCAGGTCTGGTACATGTTGAGCCACTCGTCCTTGTGGTGCGTGAGGATCGGCCCGTGGCCCGTGCACACGGCGCTCACGGGGCCGGCGAGCTTCGGAAGCTTCTTCATCGCCGTGGTAGCGCTCTTTGCGTTCGGCTTCATAAGGCAGTTGTAGTACAACTGGTAGTGCGGCTTCAGCGCATCCACGCCCTCCACGTCGGTGATCTCCTTGCTGCAGTAGTGCATGCCGAAAATGTCGCAGGTGTAGAGCAGCTCGGTCTTGCGGTCGTAGGTGCAGATGGTGTCCGGCCAGTGCAGGTTCGGGGTCGCCAGGAACTCGAGCTCGTGGCCGCCGCCCAGGTCGATGGTGCTGCCGTCCTTGACAATCATGCTTTTGAAGTCCATGTGCATAAGATTCTGGAGGAAACCGATGCAGACCTTGGAGCCCACGACCGTAATCTTGTCATTGCCCTTCTCCGCCGCCTTTCTCAAGATGTTCTCGATGAGGCCGGAGTGATCCGGCTCAGTGTGAGACACCACGATGTAATCCAGGGTCGCCAGGTCGATATCACCTCCGTCGGGCGACTCGAGCGAGTCCATGAACAGAGACTCGAACTTCTTGTGGGAGGCGTCTATCAGGGCAGTGGCCGTCTCGCCCTTGATGGTGTACGCGTTGTAAGTGGTGCCGTTCGTGAGCGCGAACTCGATGTCGAAGCGATCCCGCTCCCAGTCGTGCGAGCGAATCGTGCGGGTGTTCTCGGCGATCTCCTGGCTGAAGACGGAGAGTTCGTAGTCCTTCCCCGGCGTCAGCCCGGACCAGGACGTGGACTTGCTGGTGGTGCCCTCGCCCACAAGAGCCAGCGCGCGGCGCCTCGTCGCAGCTCGGCGGTTCGCCCGGCGGGCGCGCCCCCGCGAGGCGGCGGCCGCCACGGCCGCGGCCGCCGTGCCAGCTGTGGCCAGCGGCCGCAAGCTGCTCGCCGCATCAGCGCCTGACTGCGGTGCGTGCGGTGTGGCCGCGCTCGCCGGCGGCAGCGTCGGCACGCCGGCCGGCGCGCCGGGGGCGAGCGCGAAGGCCGCTGCAGCCATCGCTTCGGAAGGCGGCCGGGATCTCCCTTCTCAAGAGCGCAACACTATGATGTGCGGCCTACGCGCTGGCTGAGCCAAATCCTTGAGCCAAAATGGCTACGGAAGAACCGCTCAAATACTTGGAATGGCCTTGCAAAGAGGAGCACGTAGAGTAAATGGGGATCAATTCGAACAGATTTTGGTATGTTCAAATCATATTTTGCAACAACGTCCGTTTACGAAGTGGCCTAGCCTTCCTTTCTCGTGTTCACCACGGGCGGCCGCCGCTGCTTCACCCACGTCCGAGCTCCATCTCTCAGGAGGCTGACCACTTTGCCTATGATCGCCCGGCCCCCCTTCCTGGCTAGCTGGCCAAAGGCGGCGTTGGCTGCTTGCCTCTCCTTGCTGTACCATCCTTCGGCACTCCGCGGGCTGTGCGGGAGGGAGGAGGGCTCCCCCCGCAAGCGTGGGGCCGACAGTGGTTCGACAGCGCAGCTGCCTTCCGCAACGAGAAGGTTCGAGGCCGCATGGCTCGGCGCCTCGGCTGCGCGTCGCGCAGCGCGCTGGAGGCAGCGGGCAGATGGCAAGACCGCGCTTCGGCCGGTGGTGCAGGTAGGCGGCCAACTGGGCCGACGGCGGGGGATCCGCCAAGGCCCGCGCTGCAGCTGGCGGCGGCGGGACACCGCCGCCCGAGACGCCCCGGCGCAGTCCGCGAGACGCTGAGCCGTGCACGCAGAGCGCGTGCCGCTGGGCCGCCGCCGGGGCGGACTCTGGGCCGCACCCCTGGCCGAGATCACCCCGGGCGCCTGCGGGCCCCCCCCCCCCTTCGGGCAGGGCAGCGCGGCGGCCTCGGCCCCGTGCCCCTGGCGCGCCCGCGCTGGAGGCCCCCGCCCCCGCCTGCTGCCGCAGCCCCGCGCCGCTCGGGCCCCGCGGAGGGCTCCGACCCGCACTCTGCGGCTGCGGCGCGGGGGCGCGGCGCGGAGGGCGCCTCCGCGTGCGCCGGGCCCTGCAGCGGGCCGAGGCGGAGGCCGCCCTCGGCCTCCGACGGGCGAGGGCGACTCGGCCTGCCCCGGCGACCTCGAAGACCGTGGAGCAGCCTGCGCAGGCTGCCAGCGCGGTCGGCCCCGGGGGCGCTGCTCGAGAAGGGCCTGCACGGCGAGGACGAGCGGGAGCACCCTGCCCACCACCGAGCGACAGCCAAAGGCGCTCGCGCACGCAGGCGGGGAGAACGCCGGGCCCAAGCGTGACCCCTGAGCCGGAGGCCCGGTCCGCGAGGCAACGGTGCACGCTCAGAGGGGGGCGGTGCGGGGCGCCGATGCGCAAGGAGTGTTTTGGGGGAGGAGGTGCCGCACGCCGCTGCACGCCCCTGTACCCACGGAGCGCCCCCCTCTGCGACAGGAGAGCCAGAGAGAGAAAGAGAGACAAAAGGAGAGACAAGGGATAACCTCATGCCCACGACGCACGTGCATGGGCTGTGGGAGGCGCTCTGCCTCAGCGGCGAGTGCTGCGTTCCTCTCAGCTTCAGACTAGGCGCGGTCGAACCCAGATCCAGCCAGGACTGCTGCGGGAAAAACGCGTTGCCTCGGCGGCTAGCGCTGCGAAGAGTGCGCCCGCCGTGCTGATCGGGAGGTCCGCCCATGCCCTTCGTCTCGCGGCCCTTTCAGCCCGTGGTGGGGGGAGGAGAGCGAAGGAAGGGGGGCGGGAGGACGACGGGGAGGGGGGAGGGGGGAGGGAGGCCCCGAGGGAGGCGGAGGGCAGAGGAAAAGACCGTGTCTGCACAGGTTTCGCTGCCCCGACACGCAGCACGCAACCCGCAGAGTGCCGACACGGAGCTCAACACGCAGACTCAACGTAGGCCTGGCGCGATGCGTTCGCCAGATCTCGAGGGCCACCACGTGCCGAGCCAACACGGTACGCCCTGCGTGTCGACACCAGGCGTGTCAAGGCCACCAGGGTAGCGTTTTGTCATCTCTCCTCCTCCTCCTTATCCTCCTCCTCATCTCTCCTCCTCCTCCTCCTCCTCCTCCTCCTCCTCCTCCTCCTCCTCCTCCTCCTCCTCCTCCTCCTCCCTGTTAATTGTCCCTTCGGGGGAGCGGGCAGCGAGCCCCCCCCCGCCCTCTTCGGGCGCTGCCACCGTGCCCTGGGCGCGCACCACCTGCCAATCCTGCACGTTCCCCTATCGCACCCCCCTCTCCAGCTCCACGCCCCTCCCCTATCGCCTCCCCCCTCCAGAGACCCTCTCTCTCTCTCCTCCTTCTCCTCCGCCCCCGTCCCTCTCCCCCCTGGAGCCTCCAAGCGTCTTCCGATGTTCCTCGCCTCCTCACCCCTCGCCCCCCATCCCTCCTCCCTGGCCCCCGTCCACTCCGAGATCCGACGAAGTGCATCAAACACACCAGGTCGTGAACAATGATGTTCTGGGGCACCCAGCGCACCAACAGTGCTGACCACGTTCGTCTTCGAACCCCAAGGATCTGAGGGTCCCCTCTTCCCTCTCCTCTCCCCCTCGCGCATAGAGGAGGCGACTACGCGCGAGGATGAAGGGGAAGGACATGGGAGCATGACATGCACATCCCGATGTGTGCGTCCTATCCTCCCGCGGAAGCCAAGCCAATATTCTATGCGCCATTCCGACGTCAACGGGTAGTCCCCGAAGGGAGCCATCCTCCTCCTCCTCCTCCTCCTCCTCCTCCTCCTCCTCTTCCTCCTCCTCCTCCTCCTCCTTCTATTCCCCCTCCCCCTCCTCCTCCTTCTCCTCCTCCTCTTCCTCCTCCCCTCCTCCTCCTCCTCCTCCTCCTCCACCTTCTCCTCCTCCTCCTCTTCCTCCTCCTCCTCCTCCTCCCTGCTCCATCCCTTGTCCTGATAAACAGATCCTCCCTGTCGCACCCAGAGGCCAGTCGAAAGGACGGGCCGGGCGTTTCGCCCGAGGCTTCCTCATACTCATGACCCTGCAGCTCAGAAACTGGAGCCAGTTTCACAGATGGAGGGCGGGTTGTTTTCAAAATGTGGCTTTCGCCTTAGCGCCACGCCACGTCATTTTGTTTTAGACATTCGCAAGAGCTTCACGGATAGAGGGCGGGTCGTTTTGAAATAATGGCTCTCGCATTGGCGCCGCGCGCATTTTGACTTGCAAGAGCTTTGCGGATTGAGGGCGGTTCCTTTTCAAAATGAGGCTCTCGCCTCAACGCTGCGCGTACTCGTCTTTATCATTCGCCTGAGTTTCACGGATTCTGGTGGTCAGCGTGTCAGAAATGGTGTGTTTGAAAGACTCAGGATTATGACGCAACAGTTACGTTGATTCGCGGTGCTGAATCCCAAGAACGGCGTTCTGGCACGATCCAGGATCGCCAAGACGCAACAGTCAGGTTGCTTCGTGGTTTTGGAGTCCCGAGAACGTTTTGTCTGGCACGCTTCAGGGTCTTCGAGCGGTTGTCTCCCAACGAGGCAGTTCCCTCAGTGGAAATGCGCCCTTGCACGGGCCTGTGAACAGGGAGCTTGGAGGGAGGGGTCATTCCAACATCGTTGATGGTTCTTAGGGTTACAGTGGTCCTCGTCCTCCTCCCCACCCCGCTCCTGCTCCTGCTCCGTCCCTCCCTCCCCACCCCTGCTCCTGCTCCTCCCCCACCCCCTCCCTCCCCACCCCGCTCCTGCTCCTCCTCCGTTGTTCGTTCCCTTACTTGTCTTGCTCGTCCAGCTTCAACTGTCTGTCTTCAGTTGGAATCAGAGTGTGCCTCTTCGTCGATTTGAGCACAGGGCTGACCCTCACGCCATCGTTCGACGACGTCGACCCCGCTCCCTCCCCCGCTCGCCTCGTCCATCCTCCCCTCCAAACAGCGTGAGGAAGAGGGAATCGGCTCCACACGTGGTTCCCAAGCCCAGGCCAGCCTCAGCGGAGGGCAGGGGGGTTAAGTTAGGCGGCCGCCGCTGGTCGGCGGTTCAAGATGGGACACTAAGCGCGAGGGACCTCAGACAATGGAAATTCAACCTGGAACCCCCCCGATGATCCTCAAGCCCCCCCTTTCTCAGGGCCCCATCTTTGAAACGTCGAGCCAAGGCAAACACCCGTGGCCTGCGCGCTTCCCCCCCCGCCCCGGCAGCCCACCGCCGGCCCCAGGCGCCCGAGGCCCCGACGCTCCTGGTACTGGGGCGCGCTGCCGCACGAGCTAGACATGATCATGATCAGCTGGCGGTCGCGCGCGCGGGCACCCGCCGCTGAGGGCGCGCCGCCTCCCGGCCCACCTCCCTCCTCGCAGCCTCCCTGTGGCCGCCGCCGCCGCCGCCGCTGCCGCAGCCGCCGGTGCGCTGCCGCCGCTGCCGCACCTGCCGCTGCCGCCGCCGCCGCCGCCTGCGCGCTCTCCAAACACGACGCGTATCGGTGCGTTGTGCTGGTGTGCCGCCGTGCCGTGCAGGGCAACCTGCAGCCAGCCGTCGTCTGGCGGCTCTCCGCATACGTAATCGTCCAGCGCACGGCCTCAGGGGCGCCGAAGCAGTGGTGGGGGTCGCCCGCGGCAGGGCCTGGGTCAGGGTAGAAGAATACCCAGACATGCGATGTCCTGATTATGAACCATCCTGTGGTGTTGCGTCCTCGTTTAAGAGACAGCGCCCCGCGTCCCTTCCCTCCCGCTGCCTTCCCCCTCTTCCCATGACCACCGTCGTCATCACCATCACCATCACCATCACCATCACCATCACCATCATCATCATCACCATCATCATCGACATCATCATAATCATCAGCATCATCATCAGTACCAGCAGCATCAGCATAAGCTTCGTCATTGTCGTCATCGTCCTCATCATCATCATCATCATCATCATCATCATCAGCAGCAGCATCAGTTCCGTCATGATTTGCAGCATTATGATGAGCATCATCAGCATCAGCATCATCAGCAGCATGGTCATCATCGCCATCATCAGTAGCATCACCCTCATCATCAACAACATCATCATACATATCATCAACAGCATCATCACAATCATCATCACCGTCATCATAATAATCATCAGCATCACCACCATCGTCACCATCATCATCATCGGCATTATCATAATCATCAGCATCGTCATTGGCATCGTCATCATCGTTACCATCATCATCAGCAACATCATCGTCAGAATCATCAGCATCATCCTGAACAGCAGCAGAATCATCAGCATCATCATCGTCATCATCATCACCACCATTATCATCACCATCAGCATCTGCAGCATCATCAGCAGCAGCAACATCGTCATCCGCATCATAATCAACAGCAGCATCAGCGTCAGCATCATCATCAGCAGAATCATCGTCATCATAGTCATCAGCAACACCATCATCAGTATAATCGTCAGAATCGTCATTACAATCGCCGTCGTTTTCATCATCGTCGTCATTATTTCGCGCCCTCCCCTTGAGGAGCTTGGAAGCTCCACCGAGGGCCCCAGTGGCGGTGTTCGCATGCGTACCCCCCGCACACACAGTACAGCGCTTCTTGGCCCCATAAGGAGCCCCACCGAAGCTGTCAGTGGCGGTGTTCGTATGCGTCTCCCCCACCCAGTACAGCGCTTCGAAGCCCGATAGGGAACTCCACCGAAACTCTCGGTGGCGGTGTTCGTATGCGTCTCCCCACCCAGTACAGCGCTTCGTGGTCCCAAAGGGAGCTCCACCGATGGCCTCAGTGGCGGTGTCCGCATGCGTCTCCCCCACACAGTACAGCGTTTCGTGGCCTCATAGGGAGCTCCACCGAAGGCCCCAGAGGCGGTGGCCGCATGCGTTTCCCCCGCCACGTACAAGGTGTCGTGGTCACATTGGGAGCTCCACCGAAGGCCCCAGTGGCGGTGGTCGTATGCGCCTCACCCACTTTGTGCAGCGCGTCGTGGCCCCATAGGGAGCTCCACCGAAGGCACCAGTGGCGGTGTTCGCATGCGCCTCCCTCACCCAGTACAGCGCTTCGAAGCCCCATAGGGAACTCCACCGAAGGCCCCAGAGACGGTGCTTACATGCATCTCCCACGCCCAGTACAAGGTTTCGCGGCCCCATTTGGAGCTCCACCGAAGGCCTCAGTGGCCCCGGTCGCATGCGTCTCACCTGCTCAGCGCAGTGCGTCGTGGCCCCATAGTGATCTCCACCGAAGGCCCCAGTGGCGATGTTCGCATGCGTCTCCCCCGCCCAAAACAACGCTTCGTGGCCTCATAGGGAGCTCCACCGAAGGCCCCAGCGGCGGTGTTTGCATGCGTACCCCCCACCCCGTACAGCGCTTCGTGGTCCAATAGGGAGCTCCACCGAAAGCCCCAGTGGAGGTGCTCGCATGCTTCTCCCCCACCCATGACAGCGCGTCGTGGCCGCATGGGGAGCTCCACCGAAGGCCCCAGTGGCGGTGCGCGCATGCGTTCCCCCCACACAGTACATTGCTTCGAAGCCCCATAGGGAGCTCCACCGAAGGCCCCAGAGACGGTGCTTACATGCATCTCCCACGCCCAGTACAAGGATTCGCGGCCCCATTCGGAGCTCCACCGAAGACCTCAGTGGCGGTGGTCGCATGCGTCTCACCTGCTCAGTGCAGTGCGTCGTGGCCCCATACGCCAGTGGTGGTGGTCGCATGCGTCTCCCCCGCCCCGTACAGCGTTTCGTGGCCCAATGGGAAGCTCAACCGAAGGCCCCAGTGGCGGTGTTCACATGCGTCCCCCCAACCCAATACAGCGTTTCGCGGCCCCATGTGCAGCTCAACCGAAGGCCCCAGTGGCGATGTTCGCATGCGTCTCCCCAACACAGTACAGCGTTTCGCTGTCCCATAGGGAGCTGCACCGAAGGCCCCAGTGGCAGCCCCGTCCCATTGCGGAGCACCCTTCACACGCTTCGCGGCCCCATAATGGGTTCCACCTAAAGTCACAGTGGCAGCACCCCCATGGCGGCACCGCCCCATCTCGGCACACCCTGCGCATGCTTCGTGGTCCCATGAGGAGATCCCCCGAAGCCGATACCTGCAACGACTGTACTCACAACTGCATATGGTCTGGTTGGGTCCTCGCCAGGATAACTTCTTCAGTGCGGGATCCCCAGAAGTCCCAATCCTTTCCCAAGGACCCGTTTTTCATCCTGAACTGCTTTCTGACGGTCCCGTGGCCCGGCGACGGCCCCAAGAGGCCCAAAACAAACAAAAACCTCGCGTCCTGATTTTGTTCGGGACGCGAGCATCTCTGGGTCTGGACCCCGCCGCCAATGCAAATCCCTGGAAGCCTACCTGCTGCGTGCGGGCGCAGCGCTCCCTCTATGTAGCGCAAGAGGCCGGCGGGCCGAGCGGTGGACGCCTCCGCGACACCTCGCCGACGACGCCGCCGAGGAGGACGAGAAGACGGTCACGAAGGCGACGGCGCGGGCCGCCCGCGTGTCGGGTCGCTGCCGACGACGGGCGAGAAGGGTCAGCTCCGAGGACCGCCACGAGGGCGACGAGGACGACGGCGGCGGCGACGCCGACGATGCCGACGATGCCGCCGCCGCCGCCGCCGCCGGCGCCGGGGGCGCCGTTGACGATGACGACGGCGGCGGCGACGGAGGCGGCGATGACGCCGACGGCGGCGACAATGGCGAGGCGCCGAACGCGGCGGCGATGGCAGCGACGGCGGGGCACCCTGCCGCGCGCAGCGGCCGCGCGTGGGCGGGCGCGCCCCCCCGGCGAGGAGGGTCAGGCCGAGGACCGCCAGGAGGGCGAAGAAGAGCGCCACGGCACGCCTGGGGATCTCCTGCGGGAGGGGCCGGCCTGTCGGGCTTCACCGAGAGGTCGTGGCCGCGAGGGCCACTCTCGCGAGCAGCACCCCGCGAGGAGCCGAGGTGCTCGCTCGACTGCTCAGATGCAAGATGCTGTGTCCACGCAGGCCACTGGAGAGGACCCTGGAATGCTCTGCGAGCGAGGCCAGAATTTCTCCAGGTCAGCTCTGCGGAAACCTACTCCTGGAAAAAAGGAAAGAATAAAGGAGAGGGCGAAAAGAGAGTGTAAGCTCCGTGCTACCAAGATGCTAGGAACACGCATGGCTGGATTTGCATGCGGGTACATACAGAAAATTGCGGAAAGTATGTGCCCTGTCGTGCAAGGGCCGAGGGTGCAAAAAACAAATGCAGACAGATGCGTATCCAACCAACTCTCTCGACGTGACCAGCCACGTCATGTGTATCCAGCTCGACCAGTTCGCCCCCTAGAAATTCGGGTCCTGCCCGCGCCGGCCAATGGCCACCCAACGGCGGCGACGCGCCACCTCTATCTTAAGAACACACCAGACATTGTCAGGAAGACGCCATATATCAGGAACGGCACCTTTTTGCTGCCCTACTGGTGACGACGAGCGAGGAAGCCCAGAAAGGGCGCAAGGAACACCGAGCCCTAAGTGGACCAAGAGTGATTCTCACTGAAACACCCAAACTGTATTATCAGGTCTGTTCTTCCTGCAACTCCTCATGCCCACCCCCTACGGCTCTGTTCTTCCAGTCCCTGACGCTGTTACTATGGAGACAGGGAAGACGAGGCCACTCCGGCATCACATGACCACTATTACGACACGAACTGGGGGTCATTTGCGTGACGAAACGAACGGCGGACTGGATGGTAAGGCTTGGGCGAAGGGGCCACACCAAGCATCAGTGCTTCAAGGTATTTTTCTTCTCCATCCGACCTTGATCCTTCATTTCCCAATGACGAGGATACCAAGACTTTGGGTGCCTCCCTCCTGTGCATGATCGGAGCAGCTCCGCCATCCACCTTCCCGACCTGTTCGCACGAGCTCGGGAACATGGATTCCCACCTCGGCGCAGCAACCGACGAGGACGTGGATGAGATGTTCTGGCTGATCAAGGGGGGGGGGGGGGGGCGCGGCGCGGCGCGGACTCATTACACCTCTGCTGAGAACAGCACACACACAAGGCAAATTAAAACAAAACACACACACACACACACCACACACTCACTTTTGAAGCTGGCGGCGCAGAGGAACCTCAGGCGCGGGCAGCAAATGAAGGTGTGATGTTTCAGACGGACTTAGCCAGAATGACAGCAGTGCGAAGCGTCGCGCGCTGTCAAGTGCAGGAGATGGGCGGTGTAGTGATAGGGCTGTATCCCCAAAAGCGTGCAGCGGCCAGAACCCGAGGAGTACGAAAAACGAACTCGACTCAAGGTGAACTGAAGCGCGAGCAGACTGGTGCAAATTAGGATCAAGAGTGATCGACAGATGATGAGCCAAAAATAATACAGCGGCCAGAACCCGAGGAGCACGATAGCTCGACTCAAAAACCTGAAACGTCGGTACGCATTACGTCCTGTAAAGCTGCTAGTCCAGCCGATTGGTGGAGTAATGCTGAGAGCAATGGTCTGGCGAGACGATGGGTAGGGTGCTGCCCTACGAACCGGCGACGCAAGAACAATAGCATGGATACACACACACACACGCTCAAATGCTTTTCCCCGAGTGAGCCAAACTGCTGCGGACACACAGAATGCGCGCGGACACACATATTGCGGACGACTGGAGTTAGTGGCGAAGGCGCCCAGCGAAAACCGAGAAAGGCAGTGGCAGCGGGGCAGTCAAGCCTCAGAAGACGAAGGCGCGTGGAGGCGAAGACAACGCGAGAAAAACATACAAA